ATAATATATATATAATTATTATTATTAATATATATATAATTATATATAAAAAATTTTTTATCATTCTACGCGCATACAGGTCCCTTCTCTTTACTCGTCGTAAGCGAAGATTGATAATGACGAAGATCAATGACACTCAATTAGAATATAAACTTTGACAATGCGGTAATAGAAAATGTTCAAGTGAGGCGTAACGCGCGTTTCCGTGACGAATCGTTTTCCATCCACGACCGTCCAACCGACACGAAAGTTATCCGTAGCCTAGCGATTGACCTGTATCTTCGTCTGTCTTCTCGTTCACTAACTCAGGTCTGGTTTTCGAATCGGCGGGCGAAGTGGCGGCGCGAGGAGAAATTGCGCACACAACGGAGGGACAATCCGCCGCAGCAACAGCCGCAGCAGCAGCAACAGCAGCAACAGCAACACACTGCCGGCGTGAATCTGGTGGGTGCTGGTCACCCGACGCCGCCGCCATCCACGGGGATACTCGGAGGTCAGCCGCCCCCGCAGGCGCCACCCTCGCCGCCCAGAATACATCACGGATTCGCGCCCACCGCCGTGTACCCCGGAATACCCAGCATGCCCGACTCGTACAGGTGAGAATGAAATTAAACCGTGAACATCGAACTTTTTTTTAAAAACAATTTGCTTTTTTTTATAGGGTTTTTGTTAAGATAATGTCAATTCCTTTAAAGAATTCTTTTAACAAAAACTTTTACTTGACAGAAGAGACGATGTTAAGGAACAGTCGGAATATATATGAACGCGTCGTTTCTTTCCAGCCCGATGACGTCGATGCCGAGCTTCACGATGTCGGGCGCGAGTCAGCAGAATCAGCACACGACGAGCAGCATGTCCTCGCTGTCCGCCGGGGGTGGCATGAGCCCAATGGGCATGACTGTGGGCATGACTGTCGGCCCGAGTCCCGGCGCGTGTCTCCAACAACGGGACAACGGCTACTCGTGCGGGGTGGCAAGACCGCCGAGCTACGAGCCTCTGCATCTCGGCTACGGCGCCCGGCCGACCTGCAGCCCCACGCAGCCCTATCACGCGGCCAGTCTCAATCAGTACAACCAGAACGCCAGCTCGACCGGTGAGTGTCTACCGCACTCACTGCATTCGCTGCTTGCACTCTAGCCGATGGACTACTACTACGGCTACCATGGATAACACGCTATCGAGCTCGCCGGTAATGGATTATATACGCTTTTCTCCCCCCAAAACCCTTCCTTCCCTCCTTCTCATTCTCACTCGTCTGTACCCCTCTAAATCATCGTCCCTTTTTCGCGCGATCGGATTTTCCGAGACTTCTTCTCTCTTCGCGAGATGAGTAGAATAACACCTATCAAAATGATTGGCACTTTAAAAAACACCTGATCAATTTTTCAAGAGTAGACCAAATCAATTTTTCTCTAAACGTGTAAATTAATACACATGGAAATTCTCGAATTGAATTTAATTCAAAAAGTTAACAAATAGATGCTTGGTTCGCATCTCATAAACTAAAAAATTTCCTCGTGGAAATTAAAAAAACAGGATTTTTTAAATTTTATTGGGAGTAACTGAATTATTCATATGTGATGTAAAAAGTAGCATCTTCTATGAATTTTAGAATTTTTATTCGATTTCAATGTTTTACGTGTATTAATTCACACACATTTGAAATATGAATATTTCTCATATGTAACATCTAGCGTATGATTTTCAAAGTCTTTTTTCTTGATTTAGTTTATACTTAGCAGAACCTTGTATTTGTTGTAGAAAGAATTAAAATAAGTGCTAATCATTGGAAAGGTGCTATAGATTTGTTCTATTAGCAATTCAGCTTTACGGTGTCTGTGAATTTTTTCGCTTGCATCATCGCAAGGCTATAAACGCTTCTTGTTTCTGTCTGGTGGTTAGCGGAGTGTAGATGTCGCTCTGTATTGATGTTTATATTTGACAGAAGGAGATATTTTGTAAACAAAACTGTGTATGTCTTGTAAACACATTATTTGTCTCGTAAAAACATGTAATAATAATATACATCACATTTTACTATGTTATGTGTATATATATGTGTATAATAATATTATTATCCTATATATATTATTAATTTACAATTGGTCTTTATATAAGAATAAGAAACAGAAAAAGAACAATATCTTTGAAGTCAAATAAAAATGTTCTAATTATCATTTCCTTCCTTCATATCGTCTGCATTCTCTGTATTTGTTATTCTATATTGTTAGTAAAATCCCAAACACAGTTAATTGGATCATAACGTGTTCTCTTGCAGGTCTGATATCACCTGGCGTCAGTGTGCCGATCGCGGTACCAGGCCAACCGGCACCCGACATGGCGGCGCAATACTGGTCGCCGAGGCTGCAGTGACCGTGGTGGTCGTCGACGCCGACCTCATCTCCGTAGAGCTTCTTCGTCTCTCTGGTTTACGATCTGCGCGTCGCGCGCGAGGAAACCGAGAGAGAGAGAGAGAGAGAGAAAGAGAACGACGCCCGGTTACGACGCGGTCGGTTTTTAGTCTCCGGAAAATCCGCACGTTGCGATTGTGATTCGCGTGCGATCTGTTCCATAGAAGCATGAGAATCCGAGCGGACTGTCATCCCTAATATTGTATTTCGTCCAAGCCAAAGTTCTCTGCGTAGATACGAGTTTTTAATTTATTCGCGTCTGCGAAAAAAAAATATCGCCGATGTGCTCTGTCGATCGGCAAAATCGTCCGAGAACACGCGAAAACTTCGAAAATTTGTTTTCTGCCGCGCTGGAAGGTTCGCGAGGAATATTATAACTTTTTCACTGATTGAAATTCTCAGTCGAATCCGTTTTCTTGTCGGTGACAACAAATCGCGGCGGTAATATACTCGCGTACAATTGCAATACAACAAATAAATAAAAAAATAAAAAAAAAAAATGTGGCATGCCAAACTTTGAGTTACAGAATAATATAATTTAATCGATTTGTGTGTATAGTCGTGAAAAATCTCTTATCATCGTTAAATTAAATCCCCTTTGTCCTGTGCTGAAAAAAAAAACTTAGTATTTACACTTGCGACCGTGACACCTTACCGATCACGTTTCCACCGATTGTAGAGGACTAACGCCGCTTTTTCGCTCTTTGTACTAACACAATTATATTGATATTGTAAGACGACGGTTCTCTTTTTTTTTATCAGTAATTCATAGAAACACAATCTTTGTAACACACACATACACGATGACTGCAAAGCGTTGACATTTGCGCCTGTGATCGGCAAGGTGTCGCGAATGAAAAATCCTCCCGAAACAATATTCCGCGAAACAATATGCGCACTTTTAATCATCACAAAGCTCTCCGTTTTATTCGTAAAAAGAAAAACCACAATCATACATTTCCACGGCCAATGTCTCTTGAAATAGAGAATCGAGCAAGGTGAGACGCGATGGAAAAAAAAAAAAATAAATAAATAAATCGTCGGCAATGTGCAACTCGTGTATAAAAAAAAAATAATAATAATAATTAGCGTGAAAATCGGAGAGAAGAAGGGAAAATCGCTCTCGAGAATTCTCGCGGAGTTTTTACTCGCAGAAAAAAAAGAAGAGAAAACGAACACGTTCTCACGTAGATGTGTAACTACTTCTGTGTAAACCAAGAAGAAAAAGAGGAAAAAGATAGTTTCTAAGTCGGTAATTATGTTACATATTATTTAAATAATCGAGTAAAACGAGCGCGGAGAGATAATAAAATAAACGTGAGTTTTGTTGTGTGTACATCGTAAGAAAAAGTTATCGCGACGGTCATTTTACATTGTATACAACATAGTTCGACTCTAATTCTCTCTAAGTCTAAACAAAAAAAAACTTTTGACGACGAATTAATTAATTCACAACTTGTATTCGGTGCAAGAGAGAGAGAGAGAGAGACAGAGAAAAAGGACCGAGAAAAAAAAATGCCGATTGTGATTTCCCTTAGGCCAGATATGTTAAGCGTAACGATTTATGCATTCTAAATAAATAGTGTGTGCATTTAATATCAAAGAGTTTTCTCAATGCTTGTTTTCTAATTGGAGAGAAACAATTTCATCGCGCGGAGAGAAATTTAAGAGAGAAATTCTTCGTTCTCTCCGAAGAACAGAAATGTTCGGTTACGATAATGTTCGCGCGATTCTCCCGTTAGAAATCAAGCTCAAGACTCCTTCCCGAACGTGTTCACATCTCGATTCTTCGATCAACTCGTATTTATATACTCACTCAATGCTGTTTCCATCACCTTCAATCTTCTCGACGTAGTCGATCGTTGTTGGCGCGAATCAACTTGCGTGTCAACGATCTGCGTTATCGTCCGATCTCGATTATCCAAATAATCGAGAAACAATCGAATCAGTTATAGAAAATAGAAAAAAACACAAACAATGTGGAATGTAAAAGACACAAAAGAGAAGACCATTGTTTTACCTTGCAAATGTAACAATTGTATATTTATTTCGATTTAATAATTAATTTACATTTGAACACCTGCTGTATTTTCTCTAGAAATCCCCACTAAAGATCACTTGTTATTGCATTTCCGCCGGCACGGTTTTAACCCCGGATTATTTTTTCTTTTGTGAGAAAAAGAGAAAAAATATCCTTCCACAGATATGGGCCCAAACGAGCACATCCGTGGATTGAAAAAAACTGTGTTGTGAACGCAAATCGATCGTTTAGTGATGAAAATAAATAAATCACGAAAATACTTAATTCTTTCTTAGAAGTTACAAAAGCTAGTTATAAAAGCTATAGTTTCACTCGTGGAAATGAAAGAAGTAATCTCAAGGTTAAATTCAATACACACGCACACATGTGTGTACATTTAAGGAATATTTTTCATACTATAAAATTGCTGCACAATGCACAAATACTACGTAATTACTAGTACTAATTATTACTAGTATATTGCAATTAAAAGAGAAAAATGCTTTCAGAATTCGAAACATCTATTACGTATAAAAAATCTGCTTTTCATCTTACACATAAAAAAACCACGCGGAACAGATGAAAAAAATACAGACAAAAATGTAAATATGGAGCAAATGTAAAACTTACGGGCATAGTGCAACAAATGTAAAACGTAATATTAAAAAAAAAAAAAAAAAAAAANAAAANGGAGGAGACATCTTCAATGACTTAATAATTCTCGCTATTTTTCAAAGTCTCTCGTCGCCGCACTTCCGGTCGTCCGAAGTATCTACAAATTAGATACATTCGATTAAGTTGTTGGTCTCGTATAAAATCTGTTTAAAACATCGGACACGTGGAAGTGAGCACGCGCCGAGTACTGTATCCGTTCGCGTAAATCCGTTTTAGAAATCACAATGGTCGCGCTCTTTTATTTGAGCAGATCCTCAATATCCTTCATGATATCGTCGGACGATGTCAGGTCCAATCTCAGGTACTCTTCCTCCGTGTTCGTGCTCGGTTGAGTGCCGTCGAACAGCACGTTGCTCATAATGTCGTCCGTGGTGTACGTTCGGCTATCCGGCTGCTCCGATTGCCTCTCCTCGTTCGTGCTGCTGTCGCACAGTCTCACTTCGACTTCGCCCCTCCTGTTTACCGGCTCGTCGCTGTGATCCTCCAATCTCTCGCGGCAGGACGACTGGTCGTTCTGGTCGTCCGGTGATATTTGCTCGTCGTCCATGTCTTTGCACGGCTGCGTCTCGGCTACTTCCTGCGTGGTGCTAACTTTCATGAACCTTCGCAGCTTCACTGGGGCCACCTTGACTGCGGGTATTGTTTCGATGCTCTGCACGAATTCGGAGCTGATCTTTCGCTTTTTTATCGGGCTCGGTGTGCTCTCCTTGTCGCACTGCTCGAGCGAGTGCCTCTTCACGGCTTTCGCCTCGATCGGCGAGGACGGCGAAGGAGACTCATCCGACTTCTCCGTCGTCGTTTCTTTGGCAACCAGCTCTTTCTCCTTTTTCCGACGTCGAATCTCATCCAGACTCAGCACTTGGAAGTCCAACTCTTCTTTTGTCGGAACTTCGTCTTTCTTGACTTTGGATGGATTTACACAGATCCACCCGCTACCCCGACTGGTGCCAATGCTTTTGGCTCTGCCTACGTCCGCCTGGTTTCGGAGCCGAGGAGTCAAAGAGATGTCCTGGGGCACGTCGCGCTCATTGTATCCGTACGAGTAATAAGCCGCGCTCTCCGCTTGGATCTCCTCCAGTCTCATCTGTTCATAGGTTTTGCAGTAAGGTACCTTGGGCTGAGACTTTACGGGCGACGGCGCACTTTCATTATCGGATTCTGGAAGAAACATACGAGGAATGAAATAAACGTTGAAGAAACCACGTGTGGTCTACCTCGAGTCGCTGTGTTCTTCGCTTTTTTTTTTTTGTGCGAGCAACGATCTCGACGTCAGGTGGATGGTAGTTAGTATAAGATGACTCTCTCAGTTTCTCTCTCTCTCTCTCTTCTTGCATTTATCGTTTTTTTTTCTTTAGAATACCTGTCCGTTACCATCTCGGTAAGAAGATATTCATCTCTCTCTCTCTCTCTATCTCTTGTTTTCAACATTTGCAGACTTAATCTTACTTATGTAAATGGAAAGCAAAACGATCAAATCTCGTGTTTTCGGATTCAGTGTTTTGTTTTCAGACTTCCCGCGCAGTCAATCACAACAGTTTCCAGGTGTAGTTCGGATTTTTTTTTTTTTTTGCGAATTCTAAGCATGTGTTTCGCGCGCACACACTTCGCACAGTAGAATTCAACAAATTCCTCTTCCGAATCACCTTTAATCGATCTCCACTTCTTCGTCGGCCGTTTTCTCTTTTTTTCGATCATATTTCTCACTTAAAGTTTTATGCACCAAAATCTCACACTCTCTCATTCTCTCACTCTCTCTCTCTCTCTTTTCATACATACAATTCTCTCAGTTTTAGGCGAGTTTCTTTCCAAGTTTGTGTATTCTCTTGGCACACACGATTTGTTTCACAACAATCGCATGTTCTCTCACAGTTTGTTTTCACACTTTAAAAAAGAAAACGCGAAATTGAAAAATCGTCTCGGCTGGATCTCCGCGATGGAAAAAAATAAAAAAATCACTCGTAAACAGAACGTAACGCGCCCTCCGTGATCCGGAGGGCGAAAGATTGGTGGAATAATCGGTAGAAAAAAGAAGGCCCCATCGAGAAGAGCATTGCCGGTAATGCCGCGAGTGGCGACGATATGTAGAAAAAGAAACCAAGAACGTCACCGTGCAACGATCATCACCGGTCACACGCTCTCTCTCCGGGTCGTTCGTCCGAACTGTTTCGAGGTATCAAGTTTATTGAAATCCAGATATCATCTCAATGAAAAGTATTGATTTTTCCATTCGCTTACATCAATTTGTTATAATTAAATTGCGCATCGCTTAACTCTTTAGCCGACTAATATCGACACCTTGTTCCTCCGCCCAAAAGTTCCGGGAAGGAGGGAGGAAACAAAGGTTCACTCTTTCACCTCTTGTTACTTTCTCTTTTTCTTTTTTTTCATCGTTCGCAAAGAGAAGCAAAACGAACGCATTCTCGCGTCATCGTCGTCGTCGTTGTTGTTGTCGTCGTCGTCGTCGTCGTCGTCGTCGTCGTTGTCGTCGTCGTCGTCGTCGTCGCGTAAGTCGACGTAACGATGCTTCGCGGACGTTGCTTCGGAATTTTGTCGGAAATTAGACACCGTCGCGCGTTGCGTCATTGGTGCTTCCAAGAGAGAGTCTCGTCCCCGTTGCGGACGACGACAATGTTTTCTCGTCCGCAAAACGGATCGGTTGAACAAATTGATCGATCGCGGACCGAGACGCGGCGCGGAAACTCGAGACGCGCCGTCCTTGCAGATCGTTACGTTGACTGTACATACATGAGTTCTCGGAGTGTTTTTGTGGATGGTCGTGACGCGACCGAGGCCACGGGAGCAAAAAAAAAAAAAAAAAAAAAAAACGCGCAGGAAAAGAAGGAAAAACTAATCATAAAAGAGAAACACCAATGAAACAACGAGAGATAAACGCAAGTAACTGGCTCCGGTCGCGCGCACGACCAGGAAAGGAGTCGCTCGCGACTGTCGTAGAGACTTTCTCGGTGTCGCGAGACGAAAGCCGAGAGAAGTTACAGAACGATAGGCACGGGGGCGAGAAAAAAAAAACAAATAGATACAAAGCGATCGGAGACAATAGATTTTTCGGATTTTGTGTCGATGAGGATTTCGCGAGCGAGAGAAACATTTGTCGAAGAAAATTACAAGGAAGTAACATAAAGGTCGGAAGAAAGAGCGATCGAAAAGCGATCGAGGAGCTTCTCAGTTCGTTCGTTCACGCTCGCTTAAATTAACGCATCGAGTCTCTGCATTCCGACACTCTTTCGCACAAATCGTCGTCGTGCGATTTATCTTTACAGCGTTGTTGAAAAGCTTTCGTCAAGCTGCCATTCGTCGCGAGATAAATTTCTTTTATCTTAATCTTGGTCTCTTGTAGTTTTTTTTTTTTAAGCGAGAACGTCGGTAATGCACGAGATGACAATTGTTACGTGCGATCGCAATCGCTTCTTTGTTCGCTCTTGTACAATACGTTTGTTTTTTTTTTTTTTTTTTTTTTGAGGACAAAAATCAAATTAACAAGTCGGTTGACAAACAATGATGATCGTATACAGAAACACGCGAAAGAGAGAAGATCGCGTTTGCTTTCGCAACCGCGCGTCTCTTGTTTTTGAAAAAAAAAAAGAATTGCGTATAACATATATATATATAGTATATAATATATATAATATATATATTTTTTTCTCTGCTCTAACTTGTTTTTTTTTTTTTTTTTTTAAATCTTATAACTCACGCATACACGCGTTCTCTCGCGCGAGCGTGCGCTCGCGCGCGCGCACACACACATACGCGGTTTAATTTAAATAAGTCGCAGGCCGATGTGTAAAATTTAAACATCGTGAACTCGCTGTCTCGGAACTTACTCGCTAATATACTCGCACACACATTTATATGTCGGTTCGAGAAACCAAATTGCGCGCGCGCGCGCGCAGGCCTGACGAGAGGAAATTCGGGTTGCGAATCAATCGGGTCGTTAGGCGACCCAATGGACGAAAGCCCGGACATCAACTGTGCGGATTGCACGTACTTACATAGTACTATTATATATTAATTGCTTACTAATAATATAATAATAATAATAATAAAGCTAATATACAATTTCTGCACCTAGAGCAGCTGGTTTGATCTCGTTATCTTCTCCTCTGATTGCATAGTTTTTTTTTTTTTTTTTTAACAAGCTCTGTGCAACGAATACGAAAAGTGAAGAGATACACGGAATGGCGACAATTGTTCTTCTCGACAGCCCTGCGCTCTGTATACAAAAAAAATCACTCGGTGTTATCGAGTTTTATTCTTAAAGAGATTCTTAGATTTTTTTTCGAGTTAGCGTTTCTGTCGCACCTAAGTGAGAGACAACGAGCATCGCCTGGGCTCGTAATAAATTTTACCGCCTGTAATATATATATATATAATTTATAGTCGCGAGACTATAATTGTTGATCGAGACGTATAACAATTTGTTAACAAAAAGTTTGTACGCCGTCGTCGCTGCGGGATCGTCGATTTTCTTCGATCCTGTTTGACTCTCTAGCTTATTTTTTTCTTTCTTTTGTTTTCGATACAGTTGATAATGACGGATAGATGTTACAGATTACAGCTCGCTCATCGATTTAATTAGTGCGAGTCGCTACAAATTCGAGGCCCGTTCTCGCCGAAGGGCAGCGAAGGGAAAGGATCCGTTTCGCGCTGCGGAAACACCTCGTGTTTCTATTTTAAATCTCTCGCACTTCCGCACGCATTTTCGCACGCACACTGTCTATCTCAGACACGTTCCCTCTCTTTCTCAACACTACTATACCGCATCTCATCTCGCGATACACTTGCTGTTCCGTTTCTATTTTTATTTTTTTTTTATTTTTATTTTTTTATCTTTTTCCGATCAAGAGATTATTAAACGCGTACTGTCTGTCTCGTTTTTTTTTTTTTTTTTTTTTTTTTTTGAGGACAAAAATCAAATTAACAAGTCGGTTGACAAACAATGATGATCGTATACAGAAACACGCGAAAGAGAGAAGATCGCGTTTGCTTTCGCAACCGCGCGTCTCTTGTTTTTGAAAAAAAAAAAGAATTGCGTATAACATATATATATATAGTATATAATATATATAATATATATATTTTTTTCTCTGCTCTAACTTGTTTTTTTTTTTTTTTTTTTTAAATCTTATAACTCACGCATACACGCGTTCTCTCGCGCGAGCGTGCGCTCGCGCGCGCGCACACACACATACGCG